GGAGAAGCCGGGGCTTGAAAACCAGCAGAAACAGGGCAGTGAGACTCCTTGGCATTGCATGCTGCACACTGGGGGGTGTCCGATGGAGCAGATCCCCTCCCCAAACACTCTTCTGCCTGTGAATCACCCTCAGGCAGGCTGCTGGGACTTGGGGGCTTCGTGGCTGTTCTTATGGGGCTTAGAGATCACCATCATCCTAAAAGCTGTAAATAACCAGGAGGGGTGGAAGGCATGGGGAACATTTTTACTTTCGCTCTCTGAAGCAGAGCCCCGTGCCAGGGTGGTGATGGTGGTGGCCCTGCATGGAGGAGGATGCTCGCTGGGCAGCCTAGTGATGGGGAGCCTCTTGCCTGGCTGTGGGCAGGAGCAGCGCACCCCGCCTGTGATCGACGCCCGCTCGATATAGCAAGTGAAAAACCTCAAAGCGAAACGGTGGCGGAGCTAATGGCACAACAGGATGTTACCAAAATAAAATAACATCTTGTCCTCATACCATCTCCTCTGTTGCAAGCCAGCCTCTAGGAACCTCCTTTTCTCAATTGTTTTAAGCAAACAAACACAGAATCTGCTTTTTCTTCAGCTTTCGAAAGTGACGTTTGCACTTCTGCAAACACAAAGCAATGGTGGGACCAGAGCACCAAAGACTCACCCGTACTTGCTATTTTCTCTCCCCACATGCACAGCTCCGCTTATCCACCAGTACCCTCCACCAGTGTGCTGGGATGGGACCAGTAACGTCACAGTACACTCCTTTGCTTCCCTCCTTCCCCCCAATATACTCCTGCGCCTCTGCCAGGCCTATGCGTTCTGCAGCCAGAGTTTTCTTCCTGAAAATTGTTTTCATTTTCAGGCAGCACCTTGCAGCGGGCGCCGGCCAGTTCCCCCTTCTCCTCCCCAGGGGCTGAAAACCGAGCAGGGTGGGACCCGCTCCCTGCCTGATCTTGGGGGGCACAGCCTCCTCCTAGCTATTTTATTTATTTTTTCCTTTTTATTTGCAGCCATCTCAGCAGCACATGTATTTCCTCATTTGCAAGCCATACCCCACTGCCCTGCTTGGCAGAGGTCTGGTGGCCCATCAGCAGGTGGCTGTGTCAGACCCCCAACCTCCCTGCCCCACAACTTTGCCAGCCCTGGGCAAGCTGCTGCCTCCCTGCTGCTATTCAAAGCTGATGCTCAGCTACATTTAAAGCATCCCTCTCCTCCAGGGATTACTTCTAGGCTGAAGCTGTGCTCCCAGCCCTGGAACAGAGCAAGTGAAAGGCTCTCGTTTTGCTTCCCATCTCCCTTCTCTTGGGATATGGGAAGTTCATGAGTTTTTCTTGCCCTAAGGGCATGGGTGAAGGCTATTTTCCATCTGCCTGCAAGCTGATGTTCACACTCTCTAGTTGCTCTCTGCAACCCCTGGCCATCATTGGTGGTGTGGTTTGAAGCGCTTGTTTGGGCAGGGATCCCCATTTTTCTACGAACTCAGGGTAAAGCCAGGATGGTGGGGTCTGACTCAGTCCTTGTGCCTTCTCCTCGGCAGGAGGGCCGGCAGCTTTCCTCATCACCACCCCATACTCACTCTGCGTCTGCCCCGAGGGCCAGAATGTCACCCTGACCTGCCGCATCAGCGGTCCCCTTGCCGACCGCCATGACCTCCTCTACAAAACCTGGTACTTCAGCAGCAATGGCGACCAGAGCTGCTCCGAGAAGAAGCACATCCGCAACGTCACTGAGAAGGAGCTGCACCATCAGCTGAGCAGGCACCACGAGACACCAGGCAATGGCACGCAAAAATCCCCCCTTAGGGGGCAAGCCAGCCATCACGGGGTAGAATTTGTCCCTGACCACCATGGTGCTTTCCACATCGTGGTGATGAACCTGACGCTGCAGGACAGTGGGAATTACTGCTGCTATGCTGTGGATGCCAGGCAGGAGCACGGCAAGCCCCACACCATGCAGGTTGCTCATGGCTTTGTGGAGCTACAGATCCAGCAAGGTGAGGGGTGGGGGGGCAAGAAGAGCCCCTGTCAACCTTGCATCCGTGTCGGGGAGTGTTGGGGCAAGGTGGTAGATAAGTGCTGGGGTGGGGGATGCTGGGGTGCAGCTTGGGGACTGGGGAGGCAGGGTGTGCCGATGCTGCAAGAGTCAAAGTGCAGCAGATGTGGAAGGGTTGAATGAGGGCCAGAGAGCACTGGAACATTAAAAAAAATAAAGAGAAAAAAATAAATCAAGAGGCTGGAATACAATAAAATCCATGCTACATAGTTTCACTGACCTTCAACCTCTCTTTCTGGAAGAGAGGAAAACAATCCTCAACGTAAAAGGAGCTGGCTGGTCGGCCAAGCCCAAGCGAGGAGAGCTGCCCTTGATTTGCAGTGTTAGGACAGATGATTTTTCTTTAAGACCAAAAAAAAAAAAAAGAGTTTGCATGGCCAGGGATGGGCCGTGCTGCGGCAAGGGAAAAGGAGCCTTGCAGGAGGAATCTGGTGTAAGCTTCCCAGGTTTAACCTCTTGCTTTTGGGATGCTCTGGGCTGATTTTTCACAATACTGCTGAGCAAAGGCAAGCACAGCCAGCAGGTGCAGGAGCTCTGTGGTACCTGAGTGATTCCCCTGAGATCTAACACGCTTTCCTTTTCTCTTCTGCAGGCAGAGGAGGGCTTCAAAACTGCACGTTTCATACCCCCAACAGCAAAGGTAAAGGGAAAAAACCCCTCTTTCCAATGCACTGCTTGCCACCTTGGCCTGTCTATGTCCCTAGGGATGTCCGCTTGCTGTAAACACACCGGTGTCCAGATACAACCCCAGGGCTGGTGCGGGGAAGGTGGTTTCTGAGGCTGTCACCACTGGGTGAGGCTGACAGGCGCATCCTCAGGCAGAGGAGAGCCTCCTTTGGCACCTGGACATGACTGTCCTAAAGCCGGTGGAGGTCACTCACCCCCATGGTTATAAAGCATCTGAACCCCTCCCAGAACATGATTGGGGATTTAGAGGCCACTGCCACAAGCAGACGGGAAGGGACAGAAAGGTAAAGAGTTGCAGGAGCTTCTTGCAACATCCCACTGCCCCCCCGAGCCCGTGCCACCTCGCCCTGGGCAGAGATGCTCTAGCAGGGGAAACCCAAATTTTGCTTGAGCGCTCAGACACCGCGAGGCTCCCCCAGTGCTGTGTCTAGACACTGGAGGTGCCCACACTTTGCTCTGCAGGTGGTTTCTTGGCGGGTTGTTCTGTCTTCCCCTGTTTGCTGGCTGCTAAATGGGCAGATTTTGCTAAAATTGGTTGGGGCCAGCCCAGCTACAGGAAAGTGCCCAGTCCTCCCCCAGCTAATACTTTCTGTCTCAACCCCTCACTCTCAAGTGCTGGGACACCCTGGCCTGCTGGGAAAAAAAGAAAAGGGGAAAAAAAAATCACCCCCTGCCCCAAAACACACATATCTGGAGCAAGAAGTTGCTTCCCCAGATGGATACACACGAGAGGAGGGCTTGCGCTGAACCTGCCCATGATTTAGGCAGCCCTTGACCCCACCACAAGGACCTTGATGGCTGCAGATGTTCTCACAGGCTGCCAGCCTTTCTGGGGAGCCTCCTACTGCCTTCAGAGGGCTTTATGAGGGCCCCTGCTTCCCTCCTCACATCTAGAAGACCAAAGAAAGACCTTGGGGTGTCCTCCAGCTATGAAGGACGTTGGTCAAGGTCCTAAACTGATGCCTCAGAGCTTATCTCCACAACCAGCAATGCATCCCAGTGCGAATCCCTTTAGGAGTGAACCACCCATGTGTGCTGGAGCCAAACCCATGTTGCCCCATGCTTCTGCTACAGCTTGAGAAAACCAAGGAGATGCAGGGCGAACTGTCCCTTCTGCCTGCTCCATCTCTGCCCTCTTCTGTTGCAGATATCACGGCTGCCGCACTGACGCCGGCATCGTGGGCATCCTCTGCCTGCCCCTCATCCTGCTCCTCATTTACAAGCAGAGACAAGCAGTCAGCAGCAGACGTATGTACCCTCCCCTCGCCAGCCGCTGCCTTGGACACCCATCTCATTGCCCAGGCTGCGCTAGTGTGGCCTTTATGGGATGGAACGTGTCCTGCTGGGCTGCACAGCATCCCATGGGCACCGGGTAATGTGGCCCAAAGCAGTCCTGGAAAGGGCCGGGCATGCCTGCAGGCTGTGGCACAGAGGGTAGGGAAGGAGGG